ACGGTGACACGTAGACGCTAACTTAGCATGAGCGACAGCCTAGCGTTGAAGCCTGGAGCGACCAAGTGATGGGCCCACGAAGCAGCCTGCTACGTTACAGCTCACGAGGGGAGAAGTCTGTCGCGAGGCGAACTCCGGGTTCCCCATGCTATCTTTGAAGAGATACTCAGAGGCAACTGTAGCTCGCGAGCTAAAGTTATTAGCTCGCCCGAGCTCCCTAGCAGACAAGTCATTCCGAGGACCAATTTCACTAAGGGTAATCCTGGAGTGTTCCAAGCTCACCACGAGATAGTTCGCAAACGAGCCGTACTAGCGCCCTCCAGGAAGCTTCCGACTGACAGACCGTACCGGTCAGACTGCGCCATATCCTCTACTAACGGCGCAGTCCCATTCCTTTCGACAGTCTGTGTCCACGTCTCTCGATAGGCAAAGGCGTGCCTGCCACTTTGGAAACGTGTCACTCACTCGGGCGAAGCGTGCACCACAACGGCCACCTGCGCAGCCCTGGCAGGTAACGGCTGTGGCAGGAGCCCAGTGGCGGTTATGCCCGACCTAACGTGAGTGTCCCTATAAAAGCCCCCAGGGCAGAAGGGAAACGGTTTCTTCTTGAATCTCTGACCTCTCGAACATAGTGGTAACGCGCTATCCTCACTCTTAGCCTTCGTCTCCTTTTGCTTCTTGCACATAATACTAACTTAAGCATTAGAGCGTTCCCGCTGGGAAACCACTTGGGAGTTCTTCCTCTTTCCTCTCGTCTCAGGTACCTCTCAGGAGCCACGTGAGCGCCAGGTAGGAGTGACCGGATTGCACTACATCACAATAGTTTAAGAACTAACCTGATCTAGTCATTCTTTTTTCTTGATAGGAACGATGTTAGCCAACCACTTAGGGTGTGATATAGGCTTGATGAAAGCCACTTTGAAAATCCTCACTACTTTTTCTTTAATGTTTAAAATTATATCAGGCTTAAAGACACATTGGAGCTGCTTCACTGGTTTGTAGGTGGCAAGGTTTTAAAAACCAACTCAAAAACAAAACCGCTTTGACTGCCAGTTTCTGGGTCAGTGGTTCAACCATTTGGGTCAAACGGTTCAAAAGTTTTAATAGCATATTTCATCCTACCCTTTGGATTGGAATATTAGGGTAAGATGGTAGATGAATATAAATGATGTTATGAGAAGGAAGATGGGAATGAGAGTGAGGAGAGAGCTTTGTCGGTTTAGAGAAGAAGGTTGTGAGAAAGAAAAGAAGAAGAAGAAGAAGAAGAAGAAGAAGACATGTAGTGGCGTCGATGATGGTAACCTACAATGGCAACACCAATGGTGACTTGCACCCATAACGGATCTCTCTCTCTCACAGATCTATCATCTCGTCTCTGAGACCTCTCTCATAGATCTCATCTCTAAGGTCTCTCTCTCTCTCTCTCTCTAATGTCACATATGAGATCGATCTATTTCCCTCTAGTTTTTCTCTTTTTTGTTATTTTATTTTTTTTTAATTTTAAACAAGGTACATAGACTAAAACTGTTGTTTGAGTCAAATGGTTTTGCATTCAAACCATCTGAGTCAACGGTTCGTTGACTGTTAGAAAATAATTTTTAAAAAAATTAAAAAATAAAAGGATGAAAATCAATTAAATAAATTTAAAAAATTGAAAATAAAAAATAGATAAAAATGTAGAAAAAATAAAAACAAAAAATTAGGTAAATAAAAATATATTTTTTCTTTTGTATTGTTTTGTTCTTAGGTTTGCTTTCTTTGCTATCATTTTCCTTGATTTATCTTGTATTTGTGCTTATTTGGGATATCATATGGTCCCCACCTATTGGACCCGGGAGAGGGGTGCCTAATCCCTTCCCTCCCATTCGAGTCTTACCCAGATTAGTATAGTTAGTGCTTGGGCTTTGGAGTCACCATAAAGCAATAAATGATTTTGATGCCATTCTCGGAGGTCCCGTCAACTCCATTTCCATAACTAATGGCTGGTGACTCCAAATTTAGCCCAAGTGAGACATTTCCGAATGCTCGCATAGACCAATTCAACGTTTTTAATAAAACAGCAGTTCAACACTAAAATGGTGTAGTTAGTGCTTGACCATCTGGGTTAGCGGTGGTTTTAAAGCCATGGTAGGTGGAATGGATATAGAGGAAGTGCTTGATTAAGTTGTGATCTAGACTGAGCATCTGGTCCTATGACCATGCGGAGACATCCTAGAATTCTGTGATTTTTGGTAGAAGTAAGATTGTGGAAGAGGTATGAATCTTAAAGGGAGTCAAAGGTCATGTACCTTTTAGCAACAAAAGGAGACTTGTTTTGTGATTTTCCTGTAACTTAGCTAAGACAAATAGAGGTCTCTTTTGTGCTTGTCCTTGTGCGATATCAATTTCTTCTAAGGGTTCCATGACATCGCTATTAAAGTCTTGTAGGTGTTTAGGGGGAGGTTAAGTCTCATTGTAGTACTTTATCACATCGATTCTGTCAACCTAGTGTGTATTAACATCTTTTAGTTAGAGTTGTGAATTGTGATGTCCAAAATGTGTGTGAGTTTTTATTCAACTACTTGATTGATGCTAACAGGCACTCTGAATTGCGATGTTATTACTATCCATGCTTTGAAGAATGTTACTTGTGGTGAGAGGTGTGTTGGAAAAAGGAAAGATAGGAAAACTATAATTCAGTGTCATTACCATGTGAACACATAAAGTGATTTATTAAACTGTAGAGATTGTTGATTGGACTATGTAAACATTTTTATCATAAGCACATATTTGTAGAAGAAATAAAATATTCATTGGATGAAGCATGCTTTGTTGAATTACAGTATCATACCTCGCTGAGTCGCTGGTCATTTTTGTCTTTTTGGAAGCAGGTGGCATGGTATCATCATCCTCCTCCTCCTCTATTAGCATATAGTATATGCATATGTGGTCGTCTGGGTTTGTTGCCTTGATGTATCGATACCTTTTCTTTTGCTCCTATGGTGCGATGGTAACCTGTAGGTGTGCTTTTGATTTCTTGAACGGAACCTTTGTTGCTATGCTGTGGTTCTTATTACCCATCCATTAGGCCTCGCACGACTAGGGTGTCATGACTCACGATCCACGGTGTTGTAATTGACCTTACTTTCAGGGTTCACTATAGTAAGCATTGCAGCGCTATAAATTCCCTGTTGTCATTGCAATGTCTCCTCTTTTGGACATGCACTCAAGGTGGCATCACAAGTAGCATCAGAGAATTTCCGGGGTTTGGGAGACGTGGGTCTGCAATTCTGGTTCCTGGCTATGCATTCGCATTTGCTCTAGTGGTGGACATAACCTTCACTCTAGGTTCTACGATAGTTACCTTTATGTTATTGTGACCTTCATCGCAGGTTGTGCGATGGTTTCCTACATATACTTATAGGGTGCAAATTGGGCGAGCCCAACTAGCATTGTTGTAAAAAGCTTAAGCCTTGAGGCGTGAGGCATATATCTTGAGGCAAGGTGCATAGATTCTGCCTCAAGGCTTTTGTCAGAATGAGGTGCAAGGCTCAAGCTTCAAGGCATGAGGCATAGTCCGAGACGTAAAGAGGTGTAAGTCTCAAATATAAGTGATTACTTGGTGATTTAATGCAAAAAAATATACATACATTTTTATAATTTAAAACAAATAGAAAAACACTTAAATAATTATAGGCCAAATAAAAAGTAAAAACAGAAAAACCAATAAGGCAAATCAAATTATATTAGTTTTTCTTAGTGTTTTAAGAGAGTTCAATCCAAAAAGAACTAAATCAAGTTCTTAGTTTCTTTTGATTAAATCAAGTTAGATTTTTGTTATTATTTTAAATGTAATGTCACAAGTTTTAAAATGTCTAAAACTCACCATGTTAACGAGTTTTTATTTTCCAAAATCACCTTCCGTTAAAGCATAGTTAATATTCACTAACATAAGTTGTCCATGTCAATATAAATGCAATTCTCATAACCAAATTACCCTTGACTGACGAATTAGAGAAAAAAAGGTTCATTTAGGGCCTCTCTCTCTCTCTCTCTCTTTGCTTAGGTCTCTGAGATGCCGCACCACCCTTACTTAGATCCATAGTAGGTGAGTGCGCTGTCTCTCGCCCTCTCTTTGCTCAAATCTAGAGTAGGTGGGCACTGCACTACCCTCTCTCCGCTCAAATCTCCTAGACGTTGCACCACCCTCTATCGCTCAAATCTACAGTAGGTGGGACCGCTACACGGGCACCACACCACCACCACCACCACTCTCTCTCATATCTATTGTTTGAATGCCGCCTCGCACCACCACTCAGATTTCTAGTTTGAAGATGTAGAAGAACGAATACAATGATAAAAAATTTCAGAGATTTCTAGTGTTTTGAAATATTTGTATTGTATTGTAAATTTTTGCAACTTGAATTTAAAAAGTAAATCTCCATCGAGGGCTTCATAAATGTATGCAAAAATATTTTCGTACATTTTTATCTGTCTGAAATATTTTCATAAATTTTTGTCTTTCAATTTTCAATTTTCTTTTTTTTATTTTGTGTTTTGTTATAATTTACAATGTTTTTTTATATTTTTATATTTTCTATAATCTATAAATTTTCTTGTATTTTTTGTCATTTATTTGCAGTTTGTGTTTTTCTATAATTTTTGGTGTTTTTTCTACAATTTTTATTTTCTGATTTTGTTTTTTAATTTCTATAGTTTCTATTATTTAAAAATGTCTTGCTTTTTTTCATGTCATTTTAGTTAAAATATTAATATATATGTATATATTTTATATTTTTCTATGAAGGGTAAAATGATAATATATTAACCATTAGTCTGTTTAATGTCAAGTTAATGACATGGTGAGTTTAAGATATTTTGAAAAGTTATGGTGAATTTAAGAAATGCTGAAAAGTCATGATGAATTTTAGACAATTTCCCCTTTTTTTTCCTTAGCTGAGGACAACACTGGCACTATTATTAATGCCTTCGGTCACCGGTCAATGATATTCATTTTCTCATAAAATAAAGAAAAACCTTTGAATAAGTTAAAGATACATCTAATCTAACTTGAGGACAAACCACTGATTATGATTTAACTCACAGTCAATCCTAAATTTACAATGAAATCAAAATGGCGTTATATTAAACATTGATAAGCAGTAATTAAGGGTGATCTCTGGGTTCCAGGGCAGTGGGTTCCAGAGCAGCAATTTCTCTTACCACTTGAGCTTTGTCAGCTTCGAATTGTTCATCCTCTGTAATGGAGACAAATTTAGGAAAGAATTTTTAACAATCTAAGCTGCACTAAGAACTAGAAAAATGTTTTTTTTTTACCTTTATCTATCTTGAAGTCACCAAAGAACCGGAGAAGTTTGTTTCTATTTGCTAAAAGTATGCTAACGATTTCAGGAGGCTTATTTTGATTTGCAGCAAAAAGCTGCAAATAAACAAAAAATGAAAACCATAAATAAATAAACGAATGCATCAAGGATCTAAAAAGGGCTAAAAGGATGCTAGGAATACAATGTTTTTCTTGTACCCCTTACAAATGCACATACACCACATCTGAAATAACGTGTCATTTTAACTGGATCACCCATCTACCAAGATGGGTCTTATACCATTCCAATGAGAGTGGTATAAAAGATGCATTCGTATGGGGGTATCATAAAAAAGATTTGCATCCTCGGCATTTTTCTTAACATAAAAATGGCTTCCCTGTATGAAAAGATGATACCTTGAAAACATGAAATGCCTCTAACTGAATGTTCTTGCTTGATTCCTGAAAATTGGGGATGTAACAAAAATATAACTTATGGTTAAAAAAAAATTTATAGACATACAAAGCAAATTGTACACAAAGGAATCTGCAATTGATACATAATAAAATATTGGATGGGAGAGAGAGAGAGAGAGAGAGAGAGAGATTACCCTCAGAAGATTCATTAGGATCATCAAATTGTCCTTTGATCTCACATACCGCATCATAATGGCAGAATTTGCACGATCAAGTAAAATGTCTCCAAGCAGCTGAAACAAATCATAGAGGCTATCAGCTTGAGCAATAACAACCACAACCAAGATCATAGTATTTTATATAGAGCAATGGATTGGTTCGAGAAATGTGAAATTATGAACCTATTTGGAATCTTCATTGAAGGAAAAGAAATGTTCAAAAAAAAAAGTTTTTTGAGAAATCAAAATTCCTCCTAGTATTAGAGAGAGAATTCCCCTTGTTTTCTTGATATCACAGAGTGTAATATTGTTGTGTTTTTGGGGTTTCTTTGAGTTTTTAGAATACTATATGCATGGGGACGGTTTGTTTTAAGCCCTAGGAAAGTCCTATTTCTGTGTAATCTTTTGATGGGTCATTTCTTATCACTCTTACTAGCTGTGAGGCATGTGCAGTGGCTGTCCCTAGTCCATTGGGCATTGGGTATAAGTACAACCGCATTTTATTGACTTGTTAGCTTGCAATTAAGGTATAGAATCACTTTCTCCTTTTTGGGATATCTTAGATGCGTTCTTAAACATGAAGCGAGCTAGTTTCTGCAAACTTGTGAAGTCTATGCAGGGAGAGACATGCAAGAATACTCAAGAACAAAGAACAAAATATATACTCCTTGGTTTGCTGAATCCTTGGTTAACTTCAGCATGTTAAGAATTTAAGGGAGTCACAGATTCTCGATAAATTACCAATTGAGGGGTTGGCAAGATACAACAGGTTATTCCATTAGAAAATAGCATATAAATGTGGAATGGCAGGTGACAGAAACGGGTAGAAGTCAAACTTTGATGGTTGCAACCTAAGCAACCAATTGAATCAGGAATAAGAGGAGTTTTCTCAGGGCTAGTGGGTTGTGGCAACTCCTTAAAAGAAGAGCTGCTAACTCATTCAAGTTGAGAGTGGCAACTTTGTGCTATAAAGGCCAAAGATTAGGTCCATATCCACGACCCTCCCAATACCCCAGATTGTTGAGACCAATACAGGGTAATAGCCCAAAGGATAATTGAATAGGTTCACAAGTCACAACATGGGTTCATTGAGAAAAAAAAGGAAAAAAGAAACAGATAGTTTATTGCACCAACATTACATCAAATCCTAACTACCTTGACAGCTTGCCTTCGGGTAATGTAATTTGAAGATTCCAGAAGCTTGGAATTATATTCTGCAAAGAACTGCACCAAAAAGGAAAAAAAAAAAAGGTTAGAGAAATATCATAACTAAGAATAGCCAAGCAAAAAGATGAATAAATAAAAATAGCAATTAAAAATGAGTTAAAAGGATGCATATCTTTTAATCCTTTGGTACAAAAAGAGCATGAAAGGGCTAAGAATTAACATTTAACACTAGTTTGATTTGAAATCAAATTGTAAACAAAATCAGTTAAGTTCTAATAAACAATGAACAGATAGTTAGCTCAGAAAGCATAGAAAAGTCTTGTAAATGACCAAAGAAAAAATTAGCATCTACCCATTCATAATTTTTAGTAAGAAATTCAGCTACAGTAGATTTGTGCCTCGTCAAGAGTTCCTGCAATAATATTTCATTGTAACATCAGGATTTTTGCCATTGGGCTTAAAAATATAGCACAATAACATAAATGATCTGAAGTAATAACTGGTTTCCAGAAAGAGTCACAATCTGTTTAACATAATATACAAGCTCCTTTTGAACCCTGGTATAACTTTACTAGTAACATATATTGCACATTTGACAGTATAATGAGGAAACGCTAAAAAGCAATGCACAAGAACAGTGCACATCATAATCCAACAAAGAGACAAATTAGATCATGTAGTAACCATTTTTCTCCATTTTATTCAAGTGTTAAATGGTTACTATGAGCATTCATCATAATGTCAAGTATTTTTCCCCTTCAATTGCCTACTTTAATATTAGTTATGCCAAATATTCCAACCTTGAAAGTTGCTGAAGCATCTGATGCAATGTCAAAATTTGGGAGCTGTATATAATCAAAGAACTTCTTCATGTTCTCTGACTCCAAGACATATCTGTGAAACAAAACCAAACAAACAAATTTAAAGTTTGATATAATTTGAATGTATTGAATAAGAGGATAAACCCAATCCCAAGGGAATGAAACTTGTTTAGTCACAAAATTTAAGTCATGTTCATTTTGCCTACCTTGCAATGCTCTGATGGCGTATGCACTCTCTCAACATTGCACCATAGAGTAAAGCAATGTCTGAGTTTTCATACCTACACATAATAATTGCTATATTAATATGCATAATATATAAAGTTTAAACATACCATAGAAATAAAGCCTCAAGAGATTTACAACAAAAAAGAAGGTATTATAATGAAAAGGATCTAATATGAAATGCATGACACCCCAAACAAAGGACAAAAAATATTTCTTAGAAGAAATTTGAAGTGCTTTCCGTGTTCAAAAATGAAATAATTGAAGTTTTCAAATCTCTTCTACTATATGTCAAAAGTTTTTGAGAATCATGAGAGTTTTATACATTCTTTTCTTTTCTTTTCCTTTCTTTCTTTTTTATCTTTCTTTTATTGACTTCAAATAACTAAAGAAAGTTAGAGATTTCAAACAAAATAAAAATCAGAGTGGATAATTCATAACCAGAAGGTACACATGTGTACACACAACTAAAAAGATACATTTACAATAATATATGTCTTATGTATAACTAGAACAGAAAGACCTTTTTCAAATTTATTAGTTCAATTATTTCCAAATCTCTACAAATAGTAACTCACCCTGATATTAAAAGATCCAAAAGATCTTTGTTTGCTTCCAAGTAATCAGAGGCAATTAACCGTGACTGAACTTGTTGCCTTTGCAAATTTGCAACCACTTGAGTGGCATCTTTACGAGCCTGCAAAGGATGATCCTCATAAATGACAGATAACATTCAAACAGGATTCAAAATATAGTACATGAATTTTCAGCATTCATCCTAAACTATATATGATTGTGTCAAAATTGCTGAGGTACCAACTAATCATAAAATTAGAAGTTAAAAATTATGAACCAAAAGAAGAATTATGGACAAAGAGGAATGACCTAACAACAAATTTAAGCCTAGCATTTATTTATGCTTACTTCCAAGTTCAATTTTGAAAGACAAGTAATTATAAGGCGCAATGTGTTGTCTCTAAAGAACTCCTGAGTCAATTGTGCACAAGCTTCAGCAACTGGTTCTGATTCACTATTGCCATAAAGAATTGACTTCAGCTCCCGCATGAGTTTAGTTAATTCCAACATCTGAAGAAAAATCAAAATGTTACAAGAAATAATCTAGAAAAAAATACCAATACATTGACAGATATGTACAGAAAGTACAAATTTGGGAAAGAAGAAAGACTTGCAGCATGTAAAAGTGGCAATATCCACCAAAACTGCAAATTATGAACTTTAGATGAAAAGAGACAAAGAATTCATAGATATTGAAAAACAACAATTCATGCCAATGGTTTGTGCCTCCTCTATTCTCATGTAATTAGATATTGCTATGGGAGCAATCCAAGGCAAAACCATGTTACTTTCACCCAACCATTTAAATATATACTTTGCAAAGAATGCAAACTAATGATGGTATCTCTTTTACAACCAAGATTTCCTTGAATTTGGCTTCTAGCAAAAACATGAGGAAAACATGAAAATACAACTTCTCACCTTGATTACCCAATACAGATATCTTGATGTCCAATACAGATACATATATAGAGTATGAGTTACTAAGCATAGTGGCAAGTTCACCTCTAAATCCTTTTACAAAACTTCAGGTTCACCCTAAGTACCCTCACTTTCCACATGTTCATGGATTTCATTCGGGTTCCCAATTTTCCAAAAAAAAAAAATCAGAATTCAAACTCAAAAGATTCTTACAATGAAATGCCCCACTCTTTCACTCATCAAATGAGGGAATGTTCCCACATTACATCAAATGTGTCATTTGTAATTTGGACAATCCATTAGGCAGGGGGGGGGGNGGGGGGGGGGTGGCAAGATCATTACCCTTAATATACATTAAATTTGCAAAACTAGCTGAATGAATCCACAATTTATTACTTGATTATCCTTTTGTATCCCATTTTTGAGTAACTTTGTTGGTGCATTTATATGAACTACGTGCTATCATGTAATTACAACAGATATCACCCACATGACTTTTACTAATGATAACATTATCATCTGGCTCCGGCCCTCCACATGACTCACCTAAATAAAATTTTCTTGAGTGGAGCAGCCAACTCTCTACTCCCCAGTTGCCGGTCATATGCATATGGAGATATAGAAGAAACGACATTGGAACTTGGAATAACATATTTATTTACCAAAATTATATATCAATTCTCATCTTAGAAACATCTTATAAATATCCAATCACATGTAAAAGAAGAATTAAAAAAGGAAAAAAGAAGAAAGAAAAAGAAACAGAAGCAGGGTTCCCAATTGTCAAGCATCAATACTGGGGGAAAAATGATTTTCTACCAATCTCAAACATGCATTATTAGCAAGTTGGACTTTTCAAATGAAATCACAGTCATCACAGATTTATGTCTCTTTAATTAAGAAAGGAGGAAAACAACGATTTGGTCTTTTGTCATTTCTATGGCTTGATTTGTTTTGTTAGACTCCAAAATTCAGACAATTAAAGCTCGCGAAGTCCACTGATATCGGTATCGGTGATTTCAAATGGATGAGGCACCATAATCACATCCCATTTCCAACCCAACAAAAGGAAAAGAACAAGGAAGAACAGAACTAAGCGTGATATAAGACACCACTGATCCCGTTCCAGCAAGGGGGACGTAGGTGAAAAAATCTCAAATCAACGATTTATAATGTGATCAACGGCCCATCAATTTAATGAAACCATAAAAGGGAAGAAAGAAGAAAAAAGGAATACAAAAAGAAGGGAGAAAACTGGATGAACCTTCTCCTCGTCTCGCTTGTTGGTTTCGTGGATATTATAATGAAGGTCAGCAAAGATTAGAAGCTCGCGCGTCTGGCGGACGAGCTCCACCGGCGTTCGAGGCTTGGACTTGAAGAGACCCTTCATCCTCTCAGAAGTACCCGGAGGGAGAACCCCTTGCAGGAGCGAACAGTGTCTTGTACGAACCGGAAGTAGGGTTCCTCTTTGTGGTCAAGAGAGAAGAGATATACGTATCTCCCTCTAAATCTCTCCCCTTCTGCGTGTCAAATTCTCCCTTTTTACTTATAAGTTATCTCTGTTAATGAATAAAGAATCGTAGGTAGTATCAGGGTTTCAGGCGAAGAGAGAAACAGCGAGAGGTAGAAAGAATCCATGCATCCAGCGGAGAACGTTTAGATCTAATGGTTCCGTTTCGGTGGGTTTTCTTTCCGTTTTGTTTTTTCCACAGATATTGCGCAACCCCGGAAATTTTTTTTTTTCTTTCCTTTTTTTTATTTATACATTTTCCGTCCATAATAAAGGCAGAGCTAATCCTAATAATTATATTTTCTCAAAAAAAATTGCTTTTTTTCATGAAACATAAAACGGTTGGTTGTTAGAAGTTTTCGTTTTCAAGGGAACGAAAATACGAATGAGAATGAGCACCGGAACTGGAAGTTAGAAAACAACCGTTGGATTGGCACTTTTTGGATTAGACGATGAGATGGAAGAGTGCGGAGTGTGGAGGCAACCATAAATCCAGTCTGCAAGTGTCTAATCCCACAACACCCGATGATCGGTCGATAATCCGATCCTACTTCCTACTCCCGCCGCGAATATAACTATAACCGTAAAGACATGAAATAATCTCACCGTTACTTGTACACGTGTTCATAATCATATGAGGTGGAAAAATAATGGAACCATCTCATGCCAAAAGACGCAAGTATCCTTGACGTTACGTTGTGGGTGAAACGATGAACAGTTATCAACCGAATCGGCGGTGTGGTGTGGTTGAGGAACATGTTGACCACCCGCCTATAGACACTGCAACTCTATTCCTACTTGTAATTTACATTTCTACTGAAATTCATTGGAAATTGAGATTTTATGATGGCTCAGTTGGCACGTTAAAGTTAGTTGAATAGTTCCAGCACAAATGTGGATTCGAGTCATTGTCCATATTGTAATTTATCTGATACTTGTAGAAAAGCCCCTATCATCAAAAATCCAAGACGTCACGCCTTTTCCTTTAAATATAGCACTGATATTAGAAAATAACAAATAAAATGGCTCCAGAAAAATCCCATGCATCCCTTTGCCACTCATTTTACTTTCCCATTTCTTGTCTTTTAAAGTGTGAAAGACGTCATGGATTTGGAGGGAGTTGAATTAATATCAACCACATGTCTCACCTTTAATATTAAGGTCGTGGTTTGGTTCATTGGGAAAGGAATTGTTTACTGTTTGGATCCATATTATGCATGGTTTTTAAAACCGGACCGGAAAAACCACGAACCGGTCGGATGGAACGGTTGGATCCATATTAAGGTGATCAGTTCCGTTTTTTCCCAAATTTTGAATTTTGTCAAAAAACGTTGATTTGGTCAGCAAACTGCTGACCCAGGGTTGAATCGTTCAAATTATTCAAACCGTTTAACGATTTTGACTGTTTTTATTTTTAAAAAAAATTATTATTTTTTTGTCAGAACAGACCATCCATTTGATTTGAACGGTCGGACTGTTCGACTCGGGAACCGGACCCCTGACCAGTTCGTTGTCCGGTTCGGTTTTAAAAACCTTGATATTATGGGTCTCCCCTTGCTTCTTGCTATAGATGCAACCAAGGTTTTTAAAACCGGATCAGACAGGGAACCATTCTGGGTTCGGTTCCAGGTTGAATGGTCTGACTGTTCAGTCTGAATAGATGGCTCGCTCTGACAAAAAAAATAAAAAAATTAAAATTAAAAAAAAAAACAATACCCAAAAAATAGACAAAAACCATTCTTGAGTCAAATGGCTTGACTGCCCGAATCAACAGTTTATTGACCACATCAATGATTTTGGGGTAAAACGAAATCAATCAAATGACAAATTCCTTATTTTTCGGTCAAATCATTCAGTCCAGTCCGATTTTGAAAACATTGGATGAACCACCCCGCCTACCCTACACTAAGACCAAATTGATAAATTTTCCCATAACCCCCCAACCCTATATATTAAGTTGAGGGTGGAATTTGAGGTGGCCGCCTAGACATGAGTATGGTAATTGCTAAGTTTTAAATTAATGAATATAAATATATCTTCCTCTTTCCATCAATCCCATTCTTTAATCTTCTTCTCATCACACTCCCTTGCACACCACTATATTTCTAAATCTCTAAACACATGTGTCTATGTCTTTTCTTTCCCCTCCATGTGGTTATCAAACCACCCACACAATGTTTGAGATGATTGCCTACTAGCACAGTGGCTCTTTTACTTGTTTAGGGGTGTTTGCGTGTAACCCTGAAATAAAATGAGTGCTAGTTTAGCTTTTAACTTTTAATATACTAGTAATTAAGCACATGCGTTGCACGTGAAAATTTTTTCTTCGTATTAATTACTTGAATTTTAGATATATTATAGTTAAGATAGAAATTGAAAATTAACAAAAGTAACAATATGTTTAAAAATAAACTTAAATATTTATTCTTCAATTATGACATCATGAATTTCTTTGAAAAGTTTGATCATTAACCCACCATCTAGATAAGAAAATAGCTATGCTTTTGGATTAGTTTTAAATTAGGGAAAATTATAGTAAGAACCGGCTGTATATTTAAAATTAGGCGATAAGTTGGTCCAATTCTCTTTCTCTCTCTCTCTCTCTCTCTCAATTTCCCTCACACTCTCTCACTTACAGTCATCTTTTATAAGCTCAACGATTATGTGATTTGAAAATAAATGAAAATGGTTTTTTTTGTTTTTGTATTTACGTTCTCTATATCAATTTCTCTCATTCTCTCTCCATACAGATCGAAGTTGAGAGAGTGAGACAGAGGGAGGGGGGGAGAAATTGAAAACCTATTTTCGGTATAGGTTTTTTGATGTGTCCAACTAAGAGTCCCATGTTGGCAATAGCCACATAAGCCTCTAATGACATGGTGGGGGTCTTTATAATTTGAAATGTAGAGTCGGTTGTCAGAGTTTTGTTGGTTTATGTACCAACCTACAACCTAATTTTAAATGTACAACCGACTTTGACTATAATTTTTCCTTTAAATTATATACTTCATTTACATTATATAAAATACTTTTTTACTTATCACACTTAATTTTTGTTTGTTTATGGTACCATTTGACTCAAACCACTAACCCACCATCTAAAAATAAAAATGGTTTGATTTCTAGGTTGACATTAAATTTTGTATTATATTTCCATAATTGATAAAATTATTTCTTATGTATAAAACTTAATTTTGTTCAATATAATGAATGTACAATATTAGAAATGCACCCAATATTTTATTTTTTTATAAATATATAATATTAGATATGTGCCCAAAATTTTCTCTTTTTTTTATTTTTGTGATTCTTTGTATTTTCTATTATTAAAAATTTTATTATGTGACTATGAAATCATTTCATTTCTAGGTAGATTTTAAATTTGGAATTCCATTTTCATCATTAATAAAAATAATTCTTACATTTCATAATTATTTTTTTTATTTTTTTATTATTTAATTATGTCATTATTTACTAATCCATTTGACACCAAATGGTCGAATTGCTTACCCACCATCGTGAGGGAAGAAAATGGTTTTGTTTTCAAATTACTTTTCAAAATATTTATTTTTATACTAATAAAATTAATATTGTGGATTTAATTACAAGAATTTAATGATGAGAAAAATATATCTTAAATATAGGATTTAATGAGAGAGAATAGGAAAATATTTTTATTTCCAATTGGTTTTAAATTTTACATTCCATTTCCATAATTAATTAAAACATTTCTTATTTATCATACTTATTTTTATTTAATATGTATGTTAAAAATGTTCCCAATTTTTTAATTTTTATTTTTTCATTTTATCTATTTTTTAATTTATTATTTAATCATGACAACATGAATTAACCCATTTGACCCAAAATGATTTAATTTCTTACCACCACCTAGATGAAAATGCTATTTTTTCTAGGTAGATTTTAAAAGTATAAGCTTTTATGTTATTGGAATTATTAAATTATTACGTATAGATTTAATTAATAGAACTTAATGATGAGAAGAAACAAAAGTGACTTAAATATATGTTCAATGAACATGAATGCAAGTTAATAACTTAAATGTTGGATTTAATGAAAGAGAGTTGAGTGCATTAAATATCATTAAATTACCTTTTTTCAACTCGTTTAATATTAAGAATCGATTACCCTATTTGCCCTCATTTTTTATCAATAAATTTAAATATAGAGGGGTGAATTTTGTCACTAGAAAATTCCAAAAATATTCTTGAGACCATTCGTGCTTTTTAAAGTAGTATAGATTGGTACCAAAAGTGTAGCAACCTTTGTTCATTTTCGTTTCTTTGTTTCCTTTTTCAACATACTTTACCTACTTCCTTCTCCAAGTTAGCCCAATCCACACAGTGTAGTTTTGTTGAACATATATATCATCATATACATCAGCACTTGCCACTTGAATGATCGCCTAGCCATTTCCTTTGTATATCATCATATATCATCATATACATCAGCATTTGTTTTGCAGTGTAAATATTTGTCGATATAAAAACATATTGATGAACTTCAACACCGATTGGTTTAAATGTGAACCATTGTAAAGTGAAAAGACATGATAATTGATATAAATATTTACATCAATTTTATCATTATTATCTTTATATCGATCGTCAATATAAAACTCTATCATAAATGGGATTTATATCGATTTTCGATATAAAACTACATCCAAACAAAGAACCGATAAATACAAACTGAGAATGGAGTTTTATATTAAAACGTATTTACACAAAAACAAATGCAGTAGACAACTTGGCAGACCACCAAAATGAATAGACAAGTCTTCTTCTTCTTTTTCTCCTTGTATTAAAGTGCCTGTGTTATGCCACACTGTCAAAAGAACCAAACAAATAAAACAAAATAGATGAAATTACAGCATGGTGTGGCAACTTTATTTATTAATTCTAGGAATATGCATGTCATCTCTCCAAAAGGATGCTTCAGCATCCGTCCTACACTTGAATTTGAAGTTTGAAGAGCTAGGTTCTGATTCCCTCTCTCATTCTAAAAAAAAAAAAAAAATTCTCTTTCATTGGAACCCACTTTTTTCAAAGTCCTCATTAAAACGATGGCGAGTTTCAGAGACACTTCACTTTTGGCCTTCTTTTTAAACCCTTCTACTTTTTTACAATCTAAAAATATCCCTACCCTCAACTCCTCAACCCTTTCCACTCTCCAACTTAATATCATAGCAA